CTTCTAAAATAAAAAATAGTTAAATAATAATTATGTTGTAATTACACAAACCAACATATCATTATGACCGTAATTCCACTTCCAATTTTACAACATCGAATGTAGTCGTTATTTATTACGTTTTCATATTTTTGTTTTGACTTTTTGTTTTCACGGCGAAGCGGTCATCAATAACTTGTTATGTTGGGTAGTTGCAATAACACGGACGGCAAACATCAAGAAAAGTGTCAGGAAGAACGCTGACCTGACTCGCTAAACAATACAGAAACAATACCTGTTTAAACTATGCTTTCCAAATAACTAAACAGTCGGTGTGTAAAATAGTTTAAACGTTCAATATTAACAAAATATGTAAGTTTCTACCTCTTCAGGAAACAAATGAACGATTGCCGTTAAAGCCGGCAATTTATGCCTGAATGCATGCATGATGCACGTGCATCTCGATTTCAATGTTGTTTTTGTGCAAACTCTTCCCTTTCCACAAACAAAAACATTTCAAACCTCAATAATCTCAAACAATACTTTATTGGGCAAAACAGGCTTACGACCACTATTCATGTTTTCCTCAAACTTGACTTCCGGTGTATATTTTAAAAAAAATAGGTTCAAATACTCCATTGATACATAAATGTCATTTCCATATTACAACCTTTCTTTTGCCTTTCAGTATATGTTACAGTCAATGTGTGAAATCAGGCAATTTGTAAATTCCCTGCAAAAATAGTCGATATATTTGACAAATTGTACAAATCGCTGATTTTACACATTAAGTGCAACATATATACACATGTTTTCCAGTCGTCTTTAAACAATATTATTAACAGGGCTATGTTTACTATCTTTGTTTTCTTTGTGGATGTTAAAAATCGCGATTGCCTATGATAACGTGTTCAATATTTTTCAAACAAATCCTCCAACGGAGAGCATCAACATGCACCAGGCAAGTCAGACAAGCCAGGGAACCTCGCCACACGATCCCATACGACAAACATGGGTTATTGAAGACCAATACTAACATGGATTTACACGCTTGAAATGTGTTTCCCCTAGTACGATATGGATAACATAGAAGTTTGTGTTGCATTAAAACATTACACACGTGTATTTTTATAGCCTTCTATCATTGACCATCAAGTAGAAGAGTGTGTTCTCCTTCTTTCGTCCTTTCTAGGTCATCATTTAGCACCCCATCAGCCCAATAACAAAACCCACAGCAGCTTCTGAAGACCCATAACAGCACCACGACCTAATGCCTTCAGATTTACCCACGTAAATGTATTTTGAGCACATTTTTGGTAATGTTTTAAACGTTATATCAGTTATACACCCAGGCCCCGATTTCTCGAAACAAACTTGAGTTTCTACTCAAATTTAAAACTGAGTTTGACAATTTGAAACAGCTAAATTTTTAACTCAACTGCATTTTAAAATTAAAAAAGCCCAAACACCTTCTGTAATCTATTCACCAAACTCAAAATGTCTACTATGTTTGGGTTTAATATCGATTTCAGTTCATTCTGGGAAATGTATTTTCTTGCGTTTTCTCAAATTTGAGTAAAAACTCTAACTTAAGTCAAATCTCAGACTTAAGTTTGTTTCGAGAAATCGCGGCCTGGGCCTCCTTTCACAAAACACTAAGGTGATCGTAAGTCACTAAGGTAACCTTAGTACAATGTTAAAGAATGGGAGTTAAGGTTAAACTTAATAAAGGTTGCTTCGTGAAAGGAAAGGAAACATGCACATCCAATATGATAGTCTTGAGTGACATGGTACAAACACTGTTTCTATTTCCTGGTAGATTTCATCGATTCTAAGTTGCAAAAAGAAATAACACATGTGATCAAAATAACATATACCATATCATGTTTCAAAAATGATTAGGGGCGGTGGGGTAGCCTAGTGGTTAAAGCCGAAGGCCCGGGTGTGATTCCCTATTTGGGTCTTATGTGTGAAGCCCATTTCTGGTGTCCCCCGCCGTGATATTGCTAGAATATTGCTAAAAGCGGCGTAAAACCATACTCACTCCCTCACTAAAAAGATGAAGTTGGACTTACATGTGTCATTGTAACAGATAGGTGATTTAGGATCGTCCCTCGTGCTAGTATCCTTTGGTAATAATAGGTATGTCGACAGACTGGTTAACAGTGTAACAGCGTCCTGCTGTCGTCCGTATACTAGCAAATGAACTAATTTCGACAGTTTCTATTTTTCAGTAGGTATATACTGTATATGCAAAATCCCTATTCCCCTTCGGCCTGAGTTAGACTGACCCGGTAATTATACAATTCTTGCAAGACGGGTGATATTGCTTGAAACAGTGGAGTGTTGTAATCGCTGAAGCAACACCTAATGGCTCAGGTTCATGCAATAACGCTGTGATTTCTGAACTAAGCTGATTACAAGTAATGCAACACGGACAATAGGTGCCAGCCAGACTGGAAGTCCCACAAGTAACTTTGGTCGAGTATTTATCCGAACTAGAGCCTATTCATAGCAGCTTGCTCTGTCATTTGGTATGGGTTGATTCCCAAGCTGAAACTATAGGTTAAACGGGAATTTGTAAAGGAACCTGATGTGAAACTCCCAAATAGCCAAAAACTGTAATACATACTTCCTATCCAAAGTTTAGACTAGCTAGTGTAAATATAGCCACTTACTTCAGGAAACTCTTCTAAACTAAATTTTGCAAAATATTCAATATTGTTTAAAGGTACTGTTTACACATGAACTGATGTATTGTAAAACAAATTCATAACGTTGAGAAGATTATTGTCATGAGTTCAACAAATGATAAAAATCAGTGAAAATTGGCGAAAATGCAGCTGTTCACATGCACGATATTTGCACATGCTTTTCAGCAGTTTGATGCATGATCCTCGTGCAATTCAACTGCATAAGGTTGGCAGTTGGTTCAAAGGCAGTATTAGCAGGTGCAGGGTGGGTGTCCAGGTTGAAAACTGACTTTCCCACAATTTCATGTAATGTGTGATGTTATGTGAGATGACTGAGGCAGAGGCATGCCGGAGTTCCAGAGTGTTCTGCTGTCTCAGGAAATCTGTCACAACATGAGCGACATATGGACGGGCATTATCTGCTGAAGCGTGAATTTAAATGTCTGTATTTGAATGAACGGGCGCACATGAGACCCAATGATCTCATCCTTGTATCGCAGACCTGTCAGATTTACAATGACAAGTTGTGTCCGATCCGAGATGTGATGACTCCCAATATCATAACGCTGTCGCCACCAAACTGTCGACGTTGAACAACGCACGTGTCGGCATACCGTCAGTGATCACCATGCCAATCTTGTCTCCTGTACCGTAGATGTTGTTTTCACCAGGCAAGACGTGCCTGTAGATGACGTTGAGGCAAAATTGGACGTATTGCAGGCAGTCGAGGCGGATGTTGTGCTCCTTCAGTTGGTTCCGTACAGTCCTGGAACTAAGTGCACGTAAGTCAGGAATGGTCTGGGCAGTCAAATTGGCAGTCTGGAATCGATTCCTTAGATCGGTCAGCCAAATGTAGTTGTCTTGATGACGTGACGTCACGCGTGAACGGCCGGTCCCAGGCAAATCTCTCGTGTTCCCATTACGTTGACAACGTCTCCATAGAGATGATATCGTGCTTTGATGGACACCAAATTGTCTGGCCACTTCATTCTGGGCCATTCCTGTCTCCAGCATGCTCACGGCGCGGAAACGTTGATTTTCTTTAAACCGTGGCATGACGTAAGCGCAGTTTAGGTTGAAATTAACGTGTTTTCCACAACATTCGGAGGCAAGAGAATAATCAACCGTTCTTCAATTTTCAATATCAAGTGTGTGAACTTCAGGTGCCAAAGAGCATGCATAAAGTGAGCATTATTAAGTTCATTGTTCACAAGGTGCACGTGCCACGCGCGATACGTGACCTCAAATGTCCTGTAAAGTACTTTGTTACATGTTTATTTTGGGTTATTTGGATAATTTTTAAAATAATAATTATTTTATCCAATTTTATGTTATGCGCAGTTACTTTTTTCCTTTAGTATACTTGTTCATAAAAACGTAATTATGTGTGCGCTTAAACGTATTGCTATAGCTCAACATGTTAACCAAGTGTACTTGTCACATTAAAATATCAGCTTTTTGAATGGATACATAAATCCAAAACATTTACACTTTGGTGACACCAATCATGAGGGACATATTTTGTTGTGACACAGTTTGTTGTGGTGAGATGATGTGAGAAACCCATTTCTGGTAACTCACTCACTCACTCACTCAGTTATTCTCTTATGCTCAGTCCTAGCATAATAAAGCATATATCCATTTAGTACAAGGCAGCGTGGCCACCTTGTATATTGTACACCTGCATGCGCATAGCTATAGGAGTACAATAATCTCGAACGTGACCATAATATAGAACGTCAGTACCTAATAAGTTCAGAAACAAATTCCGTTTGGCGTAAAGTAGGTGAAATTGTAGGCGTAAAGGAGAAAATAGTAGTGAAATGTATTTGAATGAATCACCAGGTGTTTGCGAAAAAGCCATAATGCAACGGCGGCATGTAAACAATCCATTTCATCTCTTTTCCGAAATTATTATACATATTAATGAATGTGTGATTGGAAGAATATTGTGAGTGAGTTTAGTTTTACGCCTCACTCAGCAATATTCCAGCTATATGGCGGCGGTCTGTAAATATACCAGTCTGGACCAGACAATCCATTGATCAACAGCATGAGCATCGATCTACGCAATTGGGATACAATGACATGTGTCAACCAAGTCAGCGAGCCTGACCACCCGATCCCGATAGTCTCCCCATGCGACAAGCATGGGTTACTGAAGATCAAATCTACCCCGGATCAAGAATATTGTGAATGTGATAGTTGTAACAGGTTTCATACGGCATTTCAGTTACCTCACGACGTATCAGCTTCGGGCGCATCAATACACATCAAACAAATACCCCGAAACAAAAACAGAAATTACACAGTAAGAATTCCACAAACCTTCTCAAATTGAGGATCCTGTTGGACAGCCATGGTCTAAGATTCTGAATTCGAAGTTACCGATGGACGTCATCAACAACAGCAACGGCGATACTGGGCATGCATTGAAACGTCACAGCAGGTCCATCTGAACAAATGACAGGTGATGACAGGTTGGCAACAAACAATCAGCCTCCCAATCAGTGGTTGTAACTTCAGAGAACAATGTATGGCTCAGGTTTACTATTTGATCCCGACGGAAAGTGCCGAAGTTAATAAAACAGTCAGTTGTAATTCCAGATAACTGGTAGTCGTGATGAGTACCGCGAACGGCTTATATAATCCATGCAGTTGTTTGTGTCTCATGCTGCGTTCGTGCTGATGTGTATAACGGGTTATCACACATATATTTACATGTCACCGGTGAACTGTTATTGTAACATTTATTTTTGCAAAAAGTTATAACGCCAAAGCCACTGTGTAAATTAATTTGGGGAAATTATAATACACTGCGTGGTATTTGAGTGTTTATTGGTTAAACATACACTTCCTATCATCACGTTAATCATGTTCTGCTAAATAGAAACCAAACAATCCTTCTCTCTGTGGATAAATACAGTTCCCTCTCACACTTCCAGTTCCAGCCATACAAAACGCGCCAGGCCTTCAACTGGACATGGACATGGTGCAAGTCCATTTGTTTTGTGGGTTTTAAAAACATGTTCAGTGTTGACGTAAGCATTTAATAGCACTTATAATCGACGTGCTCTTTCTGTTGTGCGAACTAATCTAAACCCCACCTCGGACAATCAAAGATCTACAACGTACCCAAACGTCAATCTGATAATGAAATCTGAATTAAAACCTTAGCTTGGATTAGGGCAATCTCCTTGTTCACGGGATGTCCCGTTTGGTGTGTTTGCTCCAATGCTATGCCGGGTTTTTATATCGAACGAAATTAACATGCTCCCAAAGAAACAGAACAAGCTTGTTGTGAACTCTTGCTGAGAAGACCCGTGAAGATCTGGATGTGAGCTAGAATCGGTCTTCAGCTACCCATGCTTGTATGAAGCGACTAACGGGGTCGGGTAGTCAGGCTCGCTGACTTGGTTGACACATGTCATCGTATCCCAAATGCGCAGATCGATGCTCATGCTGTTAATCACTGGATTGTCTGGTTCAGACTCGATTATTTACAGACCGCCGCCATATAGCTGGAATGATGTTGAGTGTATCAAACGGAGAAACAAACTAGATGCCTCGACAACAGAGACATAGACATGCTTCCTTAATTAAGGTCTGTGTTTGTCAATCAATAAAGAATCTGTGCCAGTGTCATTTAATGCCAAGCAAAATAACACAGGTCTATGACTATGGACTGAATTATAGAATACTACGCGCCGTTTTACCAATTAAGATGTGATCAACCAATCCTTCTGGAATACTATAGCACATCTGTTACCTGTCGTACAATGACCTTCAAATAGTGCACCGTTTGATTGTGTATCCGCCATTAATCATTAACACTTCACAAAGCGCAATATCCCACCTGCACAATAACAAACATCATACTAATCCTCTACCCAGTTGCTTTTTTCTTACACTCTTAGGTTGCTATACTTTTTCTTGTGTGGGTAGAAGGTTTGTTATTTTCTCATTTTCTTACAATTATATGTCACCAAATTTGTTAGGTTTTTAGCTTGTTAAACTTCTCATTTCCAAATACATTCTGTGTTTCAAAATTAATACTGACTATAATTTGCAGATGCGTTCAACATTTGAAACATATGTCATCAGAAAACAGACCAGTTCGGGGAGTGAATCATCTGCAATTCATATTTTACACCATACGATATTTATCATCTAGTTTAATTGTCAAGGGTTTGATAACGCCCCCAGTCCACAATCTTGCATGTGTTAGAAACAATTTGTAATCAGACAAACAAAAACTATCCCTCTCTCGGATCCACATGCATCATGAGTAAAAATACAAACCATTCAACACCATTCAATGGTTAACTCTTCAGTTTACCTCATTAATTTAACGGCCTTTTTCATGTTTGTGATTTAAGCTTACTTCATTATATCTCCTATTTATCAAGTAGGAATTAAAGACCCTCACTCACTCACTCACCATTCTTTCCAACGCAGTTGTTTGCAACAATAGTCTGAAGTTATAAATGGCGCAATATAACCCTTCTCAAACCTACCGGAAAACCTTTGTATATATTTAGCAACAAACAATGCATGTACAAGAGGCTTTAGTGACATAGTATTAAGTCGGATCGGGAAAATATCAGCTTGGTCAGTTCGGATAAACCACACATCGACTTATGATTGACATATAATTGGTTTGCTAGGTAAGCTGAAGTGTTTGCTGCAAAGAAGGATTAACCAGGTGACATATCTGTAAGTCATTACAATTATTCACCATTATTATATACCATTTGCGTCCATTATAATTGGCTGTTCATTTAGATAAATAGAGAATCTCACCACGAGTCGATAAAGTTACAAATATCCGATGCTTGCCGAGGATATTTATACTTTTATCAATGAGTGTTGATATATTTGATATCAGAAGCCACGAGGGTGAGATTCTATTTATCGTCAAGTATCACTCTTCATTGGTTTTCAATGAAAAATGTACATCCCTGAACACAGTACTGCCATTAGACTTGCGGTGCAGGGATGTCATAGCATTGTGACGGCATCAAGTTCATGGCGTCATAGCATTGTAGGGCATTGTACAAAATCTACTGTCAAAACGATATCACCTAGGATCTCATACAAACAATATCTCCTGTGGAACACAGGTTTGGATTGGTAATTACTGTTATAACGCCTTGTATCATGGGTAATCTGACACAGTGTCATTGTGGATCAACGTTCAAACGTCTGGGTATGCGACGCTGTACTACTGTAACAAGTAGGTAACATTCGTGCAAAATTGAAGTTTTTACACATGCATGATGTGAGAAGTGGGTGGTGTCGGTCAATGCCTTTTCTCCATTTTTAAAATAAAATCAACTGTTCCTATTTAATTATTAAAGGGATCTTGCTCAACTAAATGGACGGGTTTTATCTTTAATATTGACATATTTGAGTTTGCAGGAGGTGTATTGATCAGACAAACACTGAAATGTGCATGAGTGTGTCTTATCGCCAAATAGAAAACAAACCGATCTTAGTAAATGTATTTGACAACAATATCCATTATCGAAAAATACCAGGCATTAACACTATGATTGACACCACATATTTTCCGATATACGTATAAGTAGTTAGATAATGATATATTTTAAATAACCCAGGATAATACATACACAGTTGATAGCTTTCAGGCATTCAATATATAGCTATAGACTAGTTCAATATGTTCGATCTTCGCGAAGATACCCATAATGCTTATCTTTTGTTCCTCGTGTAGCTCAGATAACAGAAATACCTTTGCGACACATCAAAGTCATTGTTATGGTCCAAAGTAATACTACTGAAAGCGACATTATGCTGAATCATATTCCGTCCCCATAACAGAAATAATGTACTAAGCGGCGTTAATACAACTGTTATGGTCAATATAACTGAATTCTTGTTCAAAGCGGGGTGTAACCAAACATTAAGGTCCAAATAAATGAAATACTATTGAAAGTGGCGTTACACTGAATCTAATTCCGTCCAGATAACAGAAATAATGTACTAAGCGGCGTTAAAAACAAATGATATGGTCAATATAACTGAAAATTTGTTCAAAGACAAGGTTAAACTAATTAATCCTGCGATCCCGACAACTGAAATACGATTAAAATCGATGTTAAGCAAAATCGTATATATTTTCAAGAAAACTGAAACAATGTTTATACCGGAGTTAACCAATCGTATGGCCCAGATAGCGGAAACACCGTTCAGTGTTAAATCATCTCGAATTGTCCCACAGTGTCTTTTTAATGGGATGGAGGAAATTCCATTGTGCTTATGAACGTCAACAATTCCGTTTTACAAAGGTAAAAAAATAGTGCAAGCGATAGCAAAGGTGGAATCTGATTGGTCGAATGGAAGGGTATCGAAGGGCCATAACTCATATCAGTCACAGCATTCGTGACCAGCCGAATAGCATCTTTGGGGTTACGGAAAAGGGCGAGTGGTGACGAATGTAGCCACAGGCGAAATTCAACCTATTTCGGAAAGTGTGGACTACATTCAGTTAAATCCCCGAGGCTGCGTCAATGACCTTCTCAAGGATTCAAATTATATTTGTAAGCCCTCAATGGTTGATGAGGACAGTGTCTCATGTGAACAAATAATGGTCACTGTGCGCGAAGTTATTCAAAATCTAAAATTAGAGTTCCACACGAACGGCCTCATCTTTCGACAATTCTTTTAGACTGATAATATGCATGAATCGGGTTATTAGAGTAAAAGCAGAGGATTATCTACTCACCCAAAAAACCTCTACACACCACGCTGTCGTGTCTGACATCGGGAAATCCTCCACGGTAATCTCAGTCTTCAGCAGCTCATCTTGCCTTAGTATCACTTGAATGTACACCAAGTTCGCAGAAATTTTATGTTAATCCATTTTCAGCGTTACCGGATCGGGATTTCATTGCAAATGTGTGTAAAAAACAACAAAAACAACTTCAGGTCTTCATTTTCCTACCCTAAGGACGAAGACGGAATCCTGGTCAGGATTGGTTCCAAGCACTCCATTGCTTGCAACAACGGCTATTTTGGACAGACGGTCCGACTCGGAGATTTTGTGGATTGAGGGTAACTGCATCCCGTAGGATCGTGTTCATAATATCAACCCCTGGTTTGTATGTCCCAGCCTCACTTTAACGTCATATAACTAGGATATTGCAGACACCGAATGCAAACTGCGATGTTAACTCACTATTCACCTAAACGTTTTGAATATCCATATGCCCCGGCTTTTCTAAGATATATAACACGTGTGTGTGTGTGTAACCCGACTGTTTATTGATCAGATATTTAGGGTAACATAAAAACAAATGAAATAATAACCTGAACTGTGGTGTCGTAGAGTCCGGAAGTGGAACATTAGAAACTGGAGGCGAGTCTGGTTCAGTGACGAATCGGCGAGATGGAAGACAGCGTGTTTACCGTCGTAGAAATG